TCTCTCTCTCTCTCTCTCGCATTAGAAGAGATAGAAAATACTTAAATTGAGTACAAAACATATAAATGATTTTAAATCATACAATATATCATTTGGAAGATAAGAATCGGGTCTTTATTATGAATGGGAACGAAACAAATGTAAAACACAAAAATCATATATTTAAGTGTTTTTAATGTAAAATAGGTTACAAACTATAATACAAGGTTTAATTATATCTAAATATTGTGATCGTTGAAATTATATTTATAATAAACACAATACAGTACTTGGTTTATCTAAAGATGTTTTAGAAATTAGAGCTAGGCAACTTTTTTTATTTTGCCAAAACTTTAAAGTTCCCAAAATGGGAATCATATACTCTATGGATAACATTTTGGGGCACAACAATTTTTCTCTCATAAATTTCTATTTTGCCTAAAACTCTATCAAAAATGTTGACTGTTTGGATAATTGTAGCCAACCTTATGATCTTAAATATGAAATTTAAATATATGACATTTTTACACATATTTATATTAAACACATTTTCATATTTCAACATTTTCAACATTTCAATAATATATCAACTAAAATCCATTTCACACGCTTTTCACACTATAACTATTTCAATCATAATTTTTAATCCAAATGATTTTGATATTGATTATGAATTACTCAAATATTATTATTACAAATTGGTTTGAAATTAGTTTCTTATCGATTCTATAGAGAGAAAGATAAGTTTGGTTTATTTGAATCAAAACTCCATTAATTATATTTTAAAACTACTAAAAAATGCATATAAATTGTTTGATTTAGAAAACCCTGCAAACAATTACTTAATTATCTCTTAAGGTCTTTGGATTTAAAATTCATTTCATGTATTAATGATGAGAATTAAAGTCTAATACAAATATAATATACTTTCTGATCGATAAGATGGACAAAACTTATTATATTATTTAATTTCTATCTTTCGATTGCATTTTGGTTGAAGTGAAGCGAAAAATTTAATTCAATGAATATTTTGTTTAACGAAATATTAATCATACACTATATTGACGACAGAGTCGACAGAAAAAATTGCTTAAATTAATTGTTTGGCAATTCATTAATGCATTCATATGTATAAAAGCAACCGAAAAAATCGGTCAATAAGAAAATGTATGTATGTTTTCAATGAAACACAGAAATGACAAAAAATGCACAACAAATTAATCATCAAAATTACTTTATATATTATATTTCGTATCGTATTTACCATAATCTTAATCTCGACGATAAATTCATTAAATATATAGCATTTAATTCGCTTCACGTATTTCTTATAACTATTGTGACACAACTTTTGCCGTATATTCGTATCACTTATTGTTACTTATCGTTGGATTTTCTTATGTTTTCAAAATCCGTTTCAAATCGTTTTTAAATCGCTTTTAATAATTGTTTCAAATGAATATTAAACGAATATTTTGTTTTTATGTTTGTTTATTATGGGATAGTTTACCAACATTTTATTTTTAAAATTTAATATAGTAAACTCGAATTAAAACTTAATTTGTTTCTACTTTATTCAATTATAAATTTTAATTTATTATTATTGTAATTATAGATTTGAGAAAATTAATAGATTTTTAAAACTAAATTTTATTAATATCTTAAAATATATTCAGTATATTTAGTGTTTATCTAAATAACATTAATCTATTATTCAATCTATCATTTCTACAATCGATTTGATAAATAAAATCTAAATTTTGATAAACATTTATGGGTTTCGAAACATAAATTTGATTAAAATCAGCGATAAATGAAGCCATGATTTAAAGCAAATTTTTGTCATTTATTTCTTTGAGATAAACACAAGATTTTAATCAAATAAAAAACCAATAAATAAGTTGTTTTCTATAACTAAAAGCTAATTATTTGTATATTATTTAAATATATAAAATATTTAAACAAATTAAATCATATAACTTCAAATATATAACAACTTTTAAAATTCACATCAAATAAATTAAAACAATTAATTATTTTTTTGGCGTATAATAACCTAATAGTGTCTTAAAAGCAAAAACTAATCTAAATAATGTGGATCATTGGTATCACAGGCAGATTGTAATACTGTAGTAGATTTTTATTTATTTTAACAAAATAAAAATAAAATAAATAAATTTTCAAACAAAACAAAATTTATTGTGATTTTTAAATCACAGAAGAGTTATAGAAAAACATAAAAATAAATGCAAAAAACGTGTTATAATATTTCCCATAATATATCCATGTATTTAATACACGAAAGCAATTATAATGTTATGGATTTGATTGAATTGACGGCAAAATTCTTTAACAAACATTTTTATTATTATAGATAAGTAAAAAACTATTAAAAATAAATAAAATAAATGCTTTAAGACTTTGTTGTGAATAATTATTTCCGTTTTAATCAATTCATTTCACTCTCAAATGTCGCGGAAATCTCTAATTTTAAAATTAAAAGTTTTTAAATAAATGGCATTTTAAGCATTTAGTTAGTTAAATGTTTACTAGGTTAAAGTACAGTATACCTTCGGTATAGCTACTTTTGTTGTGGACATTATAGCGAAATAAAACTAAATATGAACTTGAAATGTGATAGGTTGTTTACATTTCAATTATTGTATTTATAATTAAATAAATCAAATGTATATTCAAACAAATGTCTGTGAAATTAACGCAAAACAGAAATTTGAATCTCAATTAACGGCTTGAATATCAATGAATAGCGACATTAGTTATTCAATACAAGAATAACACAAACAAAACTTTTTGAACAACAAAAAACTAAATGAATTATATATAATAGATATTTATTACAATTTAATGCTAACATCAAATGATTGATTCAAAATTAATTACTAAATTAATTAACACATCAATCATAACAATAAAAACAACAATTAAAAAGTTTTTCAATCAAACAGAGCGACAAAAAAGTTGGCAAAACTTTCAGTTCCCAATCAAAACTTCATTACAAAAACTTCAATAAAAAAAACTTTTGACAAAAATAGTGAGAAATAGGCATTCATTTCGTCATTTAATTGTCAAAACACTTGAAACGTGTTATCAATTAATTTGATAACCAAAGCAACACAACGACAGCCAATATATATGTAGTTTTCATTTATTATAAATCTATATATTTTTACATTTAATTACAGCATAAAAAATATAATGTCATGTATTTATACAGAGGTAATGAAAGGATCAAACATTGAATGCATAATAACGTTAAGTAATGGCTTTTATCAGACAATTCAGTGATTAATACTATTGAGTGAAACGTATTGTACTTTTTGTTACGTTTTTTGCATTCATTTTGAGACATATTTTTGGACTCATTTTCTTCGCAATCCTTATCTCAAAGGAAACCATTTTTTGCGACACAAAAGCGTTTTAATTATACTTTTTATACATTTTTATTCAAATATTAATTGTGTTTATAATCACACAATAATTCTCGTGTTTTATAATCAAAATAAAATTGATTTCATTTACAAGTGTTTGAGTTGTGAATCAAAACACAATTTCAAAGTCTATACAAAACGCCAACAAAAAGGTAAACAAAACGACATTTAAACCCCATTTTTGGCACTCGTTTTCTGGCCTCACATCTGACTATTGGATCCAACCGTTGAGTTGATAATGAATTTCTTGAGATCAAACCCAACGCCAGCTCCGGAGCCGACGCCGGCGTCGGACGTGCCGTGGCTTATGAGTACCGCCGCCAAAGTGGTCGCCACTATCGCCGGCCTCTGTATGTATTGGTTATGTCTTTGCCATCAATTGTCTCATTGAATGTCAATATAATTGTTGTTTAATTGAAATGTATTGATAGTCGGAATCGCTGCCGGATTTATGGGCGTCTTCTTCAACATATTGAGTCCGACGTGTATTTTCGCGGCCGCTCTTCTCATGTATGGTCTCATTATATGATTGTTTTGTATTTGATTGACAAATGTCTGTATGTGTTAGGGTTGAGGGCGTGACCATGGCCATTCTGGAGGCGCCCTGTTTCTGCACTTTCCTCGACTTCGCGTACACTCCGTCCGCGTATTTGGACCGAAAACCCCATTGGATTAAAGCCACACTTTATTTGCTGTGAGTTCTCTCTCTTTTTCCACATCTGTTTCATTAGATTAAGTGATCTATTAATTGATTTTTCTCTTCCGATAATTTGTATACTCATTAATAGTGTACCGAATAATCGATAATAATTATGATTAGTGTTAGATATAGTGTACACTCGCTATGGTTTTCGTACATTTAATAGTGATTTGAATACTTAAAAGTGATTTGTATTAAATTAAACGAAATGTCATTTATTATGCTAATAACTATTTGTTTGCAAATTGTTTTGACAGTTTCGCTATAATTCCGGTCTCGTTTTGCATCGGTTTCTCAACACTCTTGGCCTGTAGTCTAATACTCGTGAGTTGTGGCCTATATTTGGTGATGGCTTTGGGCAGAAAGTGAGTGTTGAATGTGTTTTTAAATTTATTGTTGTTGTCGTCGTGTTTGATATGAATATTGAAACATATATTTTGCAATATTTAGAGCATCTGCTGATCAGATGAGAGTATCGGCGACTCTGTCTGAAAAGCCGACCGCTGTTCTCGTCCACAACGAGGAGCTGCCCAAAGGCACGGAACCTCCGCCCGCTTACAGCCCACAGCAGCCAAACACCATCAGCTCTAGTCAGACAATGCACTACTAAATCAGAGCAACTCTTGTCGCTATTTTGTTTCCCTCTCTTCGCAACTCTTTACGCAAAAACACTATTTAATTGTTATTTTAATCAATCTTTTAGTGCCTTCTATTCCTGTATGTCTTTCGTATCGAATATTAAGTACTTTTAAATTAATTACTATTTATTTTTCTAACCGAAGGAAATCCTATGGAAATTAATATGAAATTGATTTTTTAAATTATAAAATGTATTTCTATAAAGACATGAAATATTTTGTAAAATATAAATTTATATGATTTTAGTTTACATTTGAATACATTTCCAGCAAAAGAAAATTAATATATATTTTTCACGACTTGTAACTATAAATTATAAATTAATAAATTGTTTACAAAAATTGATAATTATTTGCAAATCCCATTTAATTTGATACTGTATTTATAAACGGATGACAAATTCCAATAAAATATGGTTGAATATAATGTGCTTCAAAATGAATGCAAATCGTGATGAAGGCTCCGATATTAGCAGCCGTTTGTATACTTGAATTGAAAAAGTAATTTGAAAGCTAATAAAATGATGTTTTATGTGCAAAGAGTCCGTAAAATCGATACAAATTTTGAATTTGAAATTTAATTAGATTTTTGTGTAATTCTTTGAGTCAAATAACAGGAAGGGATTAAATGCAATGGAAATGGCATTGCATTGGAAAGTGAATGAAAAGGACAAATAATTTAAGCCAAAGTAAACGAATCCTTTGGGTAATCGCTTAAAAAAATTGATTTAGACTTTCATTCATCATCCAGTGCTCAGAAGATGTCTCGGTTCCCCACCGGCTACTCAGCTCTCTCTCTCTCTCTCTCTCTCTCCCTCTCT